AATTTCAGCAAACAAACAACTTTAGTGTGTTTATTCCTTTAATAAGATGTCCATGGTAATGTTTATATTCACCATCTCATTTAGGGAAACTCCTGAGGTAAATAAGTTATGTCTCTGAACTATGCTAAAAAATCTAAATAAAATGCTGCGCTTCCCACCTCCAGTCGCAATGATTTCTGGCACTTCTAGCACAAGTTCGGTGCTCAAGTCTGCATCGGTGCGTCCTCGATATCAACAACACGTCAGGAAAGTTTCCACGCATCCTCTGTTCTTGCGGTCTTGAGTATTGGAACTGAACTTAGGCAGCTGATGGTGACGTTTCACGAGGATGCAAGACCGCTGAAGAACGCATATTGAGAAACAGCCAAACATCCTATATTAATGTGGGAGTGATGGCCACTAATGAGCAGGGCTTCCCCCATCTGGTGACACGTACAAAGGCAGAATGTCAATCAAAGTGTTTCTGCAAACTGTTTTTATCAAGTGTTATTTAAAAAAAAGAAATGAATACATTTTAACTGTTAGAAGCTGCTTATACTCACAGACTGTTGTCAGACAACTGTTCAAACCTCGCATATACGTGATTTTTTTGCAAAGTAGTAAAACTATCTTGTTTTCAGTTAGAAGGGTTTCCTCCGAGTGCTCCGGTTTCCCCCAACAGTCCAAAGACATGCGGTACAGTTGAATTGGGTAGGCTAAATTGTCCATAGTGTATGAGTGTGTGTGTGTGAATGTGTGTGTGGATGATTCCCAGAGATGGGTTGCGGCTGGAAGGGCATCCGCTGCGTAAAAACGTGCTGGATAAGTTGGCGGCTAATTCCGCTGTGGCGACCCCGGATTAATAAAGGGACTAAGCCAACAAGAAAATGAATGAATGAACGACCCTTGATGGAACTTTGTTTAGGAATTAAGAAAGGAGTACCATTGAGATGACCAAATGAATAAGCTAATGGCAAGAAATGAAATCACAGGACAAAAAATTAGCGATTGAATAAATCTCTTAACATATTTTAGAGCAGTTATCACAATACTGTGAAACCTGGATATTTTTATCCAAGGTTATACCGTCAGAATCTTATCTTGTTCTCTATTGCTACCTGGGGATGCTCATCCTGAAGCCTCTATTAGATTGTGCAGTGCCATTGATGTGTTTTGTGCCTTGTGAAGAGACTAAGCCAACTATTGAGGACCTCAAAAACAACACATACGAAGAGATGGTGCCAACCATAGAGGACTTCTAGAGGCATCCATAATGCTGGACCAGGCTGTATCCTGAGCAGACGGTGTGGCGGTCATGAAGGAGTGGAGAGCATGAGACTGATTCTTGAAAGACCCCAGTGACAAACTAGTCTCGGCATTGATCCTGTTGGCCAGCTTGTACACCTACTAGTGACCTACTCACACCTGAAGTTCCTCCACAATGGACGTCCAGTGTTCTCCTGCCTCCAGCGCAGAGACTGCAGCTCTGCACAAGAACTTTGGCTATAGGAAAAATGTTGTGTCCAAATGAATCTGGCTTCTCTCGTTTTTTTTCCCTTCACTTTTGTCAATTGGTGAAGTTTTGTTCTTCGCCACTGGCTTGCTTGGTTTGGGACTTGTGTAGCTGCGCATCTATGGATTTGCTTTTCAGTGTTTGGACTTTCAGCAGTGAAAATAAACCACACTGAACTGGGGTCCGTTCTTCCTACCTCGCTTGATAACTGATCTCTCGCTAATTTGGTTCTTCAAACAAGTTCGCGAATCAGATTAGAATGTCTGGATAAACTGATCTGAGATCGCTGCATGTGTTGTGAAGGACAGATCTATCAATCCTCGAAATTATGATCAGCAATGCAACGATTGGCTGACGGCACAGCAGCCTAATGACATCATCTGATTAATATTCAATTATCCATGTGAGCAAAATTACATCAAATTAGCAGTAAACGGCTTGTTAAATATGACACGCAATAACATTACACATTTGCTGTGAGCTGCAGGCTTTACACTTTCATGTGTCAAGAGTATTCATCATGTATTTCAATGCAAATCAATGTATTTAGTTCTACATTTAGAAAATATTTTCTTTATTATAGTAGGCGTTCTTTAATCGAAGTAAAGAATAACTGGTTGTTTACAAAAGCATTTTGATATTGGTAAAGGCGTCTGCAACTTTTGTGAAGCATCAAATCACCGGCATATTATTAACTATCAAAACATGTTTATGAGTGCATAAATGTATTATTGCTTTAAAAAAAAGTCGCATATTGTGCATTTCTATTATACACAATTTGTACTAAAGCGATCTAAAAAGTTCATATCAATTAGTTTTCTCTTTGCACCACCAGGTGGCAGTCTTTGTACTTTTATTTCGAGGGTGCAGATTGCATACGTTTTATTAATATTTATAACTTTATTTATTTTGTTAATGACTATAACTTTATATATATATAGTTAAAAAATATGTACCATTTTACCAAGTTTATAACTACTACTGTAAGAAAATATCAGAATTCGGTACATACTTTCTGTATTATCTTTGCTTGAACTAAGTCGATCTAATCCTGTTTATATGAATTGAACCTGCTCCCCATCAGGTTTGACCTAGCAGAACTGTTGCTATGACAACAACTCTCGGAACAGCTTTGAAGAACGAAACGATCCTGGATCGTGTCAAATCGTCAATATCCAAATCCAGCTAACTGAGTAATCCACATACGAAGAACGGACCCCTGAACTAAATTGAATTTCAACTCTGAAAACTGAACTGACACTGTTTTAATTTACTATAATATTTCATGTGAAGCTGCTTTGACACAATCTACACTGTAGCTATACAAATATAAGATCATGCTTATATGATTATTACTCTTTTCACAGACAATCGTGCTGTAATCCATAAACTGTAAATGATTGTTCTGCTACAACTACTTTGTATTTCAGCATTTGAGACCTAAAATAAGTCTCCTGTGATAAAAAAAAAACATTGATCGTTTGTGATTTATGACAAGCGCTGTGCGTGGTGCTCTGATCACCGGTGTAGTGAACTCATCAAGGGTTAATAAGCAGCCGCAGACTGAGCTGTAAAGGCGGAGTTGGTTTATCTCCGTTTGAGGAGTTATTTAATTTTACTTTGTTATAAACAGCAGACACGCGCAGAAGGGTGCTCGAACACCTGCCCTTTTTTTTCTCTCAGAGAGTAAGTTATCTTCCTCCTTTGCACACAGATCCTCCATCCGCAACACCCATGACGCTTTTCGGCTTCGCGATCAACCCGTGCCTCAATCGTTAACCAGATTAGTTAACAAGCACCAGTTTTGCCTTCAAAATCTTTTTCAACATGAACAACTAACTTTCTGTGAGCCTGTAATCGCCCTGTGTGCCATTCTACTGTGCTGCTGAGGAGTAGATGATGTTTGCAGCACAGAATGATGACGCATGTTACTCAAAAATTACGTAAAAGTCACATGAAATCCGACAAAACCGTTCACACTGCGGTCGCATTGCAAAACATCAGATCTGTGTGTGATTTAAGAATACATGTGAAAGTGGCACAGATCTGACCTGAAAAGATCAGATTCCATGCGGTTTGGGCTGTTTACACTGTCATCACCTGCGTCACATGAGGGGGAAAAATCTGATTTGGGACACATTTGCCTGCAGTGTGAACAGGGCCGGCCTGCTAAGGGCGCTGTACATCCAGGGGGTGCCAGAAATGATCGGGGTTAAGTTGGTTTTGTTTTTAAAGGGCCATGAAACCCCCTCGTTTCAGCAGTGTGTTTTCACACCTCTACTTTGGAAAAAGTCAGAAAAGTGGGCGTGTCCAGCTCTGTTTAGGGGGGAGTGTCGGAGGAAGAAAAGAGGCTTGGTATGGGAGTGTCTATTTGGGCGCGCTGAATTTCAGAGTCAAAACACACACCCACAGCGGACAAAGTGACTGTGTTTACATGGACAACTGTAGTCGAATTATTTGCCAAATTATTAAATGGTGGACTTTAACTGCAGTTTGGCTCTTTCATTCAGGGAATTCATTAATGTCCCTCCCGACAAACGTGATATTTGATTCGAGGCGCTGCTCTAAGCGTGTATTTTTCATGCAATGTTTGATACCGCACGGCGAATGAGAGAAAAAAAAAACTCAGCATTTCCCGGAAACTTAGATGCACACAGCAGGTAGCGTCAGAAAGCCGCGCGTGTTATTCCGGTCATAAAATCCAACACGAGGTTATAGTTTGGTTGTAACTGTTAGTGCTAACTATTGCACTCGGTGCAATAGTTTGTTCGATACGAATAAAATACGAACTGAATAAACAAAGAGCACTGGTCGCTCACTTACCAAATCTGTAGAGACAGGACAATCACCAGCAAGTAGAGCCACGTCTTATTAAGAGGAGACTACAAGCGAATCCGGATCTCAGCGTTTGCAGATGAGAACAGCTCTCAGGTAAACAATAATCCTCCTTAGACACGTAAGTTATTGTTGTCGAGCGTCTCGTACACTGTAATCCACACATGATCCAGCTGAGCTCTCACAGAGAGAAAATGAAAACGAAACGAAATGAAATATAAGGTTTAACCTATTAAAATCAATGGCCTATACAGAAAAAGCTATAAATAAAGCTATAAAATCTATTTCACTTTTAATTGTATTTGCATATTGATTAAAGTTACTATAGTTATTTAGTGAAGAGCAGCAAATGAATCTCTCATGGTTTTTTGTTTGATAACAGATGTGTTAATGTAAGAATGCACACAGATGTGACGGAGCGCCACCTGAAATCTTGCCTAGGGCGCCAAATTGGTTAGGGCCGGGCCTGAGTGTGAACGTAGCCTAAGTGTGCAATAGGGATCATGTTGGCACATTCTGACAAGATGCAATCGTGAAGCAATATGAAAAATCACACAGTATGAGCTGGGCTTAAACTATGAGTGGACTAGTAATGCTGTAGGGCCTCTCTAACAAAGATGGTGGATGTTTTTCGTAATGTAGAAGAGCTGAAGTATTGTTTGTGTGTGTTTAGTGGATGGCGAGTGGGCTGACTGGAGCCGGTGGTCTGCCTGTAATACTGACTGCACACAGTGGAGGAAGAGAGAGTGTAATTCTCCTGCACCACAGAATGGAGGAAAAGACTGTGATGGACTCACACTACAGTCCCAGAACTGCACTGACGGACTCTGCCTACAGAGTGAGTAAAGTCACGCACGCTCACAGTTTGGATATAACTCAGTTTTTTAAGCACACTTCGTAATTACTGTTTGTTTATTTATTTGTTTACTGGAAATTAGAACTGAATTTAAAAACAGTTTTGAAACAAAACTTTGTGCTTAACAAACAAAATTTATTATGTAGGCTAATTGATGTCTGTGCAAACAACACCGTTTCCTTATCCCCGAAAGAAAGAAAAAGAAAGTGAAAGTAAAGAGACTGAATGGAGGAGGCTCATTCTTTATCCTCGCACTTCAAATGCTCTATTTAACTGTTTTCTCGCTTGTGAAGCGTTCAGGTTTTCCACTTATCCGCCATGTAAATAGCAAATGCGCCATGATGCAACGCAACTGACTCTTAAAGGAAATGGGAGACGAGACTCTGATTGATTTATTCTCAAAACAAACCTATTACTAAGGCTAGACAGAATCTGCGGACATTTTTTGCTATTTCTGCTAAGATTTTAGTAAAAATTCTGCAAATTTATGCGGAATGATTTTGGGAGTATCATAACTAAAAACGTATTGTATAGAATAAAGCTAATACCTTTTAACTTGTATTTAATTTGTTTACTATGCAAATCCAATTAGATCCACATATTTGGTAAACAAAGCAAGTCTCTCATAAAACATATCTACTTAAAGACAGAAAATATTACTTTACACACTGTGGGCCCTATCATGCACCCGGCGCAATGCGGCACAAGGCGTGATGCAATAGTTGTTTGCTAGTTTCAGCTTGGCACAAGAGTTGTTTTGACGTTTTGCGTCACGCTTTTTAAATAGCAAATGCATTTACGTGTGCACAGACGTTCTGGTCTAAAAAAGGAGGCGTGTTGAGGCGCATTGCTAGCGCCTTGCTATTTTGAGAAACTATAATAGATTGTTCTATAGACCAAAACAAAGCCGGTCTATTGTCCAGCGCAGAGGGCGATAGTTGTGCGCCTTGCTTGCACATTGCTTAATACAGACAGGATGTACAGCAATACGCAAATATCTTTACATAAAAAAAAATATTTTAAACACATTAAGCATATATATATATATATATATATATATATATATATATATATATATATATATATATATATATATATATATATATATACATATATACATATATACATATATACATATATATATATATATATGTGTGTGTGTGTGTGTGTGTATATATATATATATATATATATATATATATATATATATATATATATATATATATATATATATATATATATATGTATGTATGTGTATATATATATATATATATATATACATATAATATATAATATAATAAGGATATATATAGCATATAAATATAAAGGATTAAAATATCACAAAACATATTTTCTAGCCTACATAAATATAAAAACCATACTTTCAGTCCTTCTTCACCTCGAGGGGGTTTTTCAGTTTATTCATAACAATTTGCATTTGTTTAATGTTAATATTAATAGCAGTATTATTTATTATATCCCTATTTATATTTGTTTTATTGAAAACAAGCTTAGATTTGCCCACCTGTCAGGTTTTAGACCATATGGGACACAGCATGTGTATAAGGATAAAACTCAGCAATTTGAACACACTTCAATATTATTGTTCATTTATTTGTTTGCTGAAAATTAGAGCTGAATTTAGAAATAGTTTTAAAACAAATCTTTGTGCTCAACAAACAAAATTAATTTTTTATAGGCTAATGGATGTCTGTGCGTACAAGAAGTTTCCCTATCCACGAGAGTGAAAGTGAAAGTAAATAATGATCTCATTCTTACGCTGCAGATGCTCTGTTTAACTGTTTTCTCTCTAGTGAAATGCTCAGTTTTTCCACTTACAAAGTCTGTCATGTAAATAGCAAATGCGCTATGGCGCGACACAACTGACTCTTAAAGGGAATGTGAGACTCTGATTGGTTTATTCTCAAAACACACCTATAACTCATCAAGAGAATAAGCTCAACCCTTTTAGACCGTGCGCCGCGATCAAAGCAGTTTTTTCTGTCCTTAAAATAGTAAAAGTGGATTCTGGCACGCTTTTAATACTTTGGACTTTCCGCATGGATCGTCAAAAAAGAGCCTTGTATAGTAAATAAACTTATGAACATTTTCATATTAGTCAACAATATTACAGAAATTATTTTAAAAAACAGAATAAATTTACACACATTTGCACGAGTAAATAAATAGACTCAATAATGGGCTAAAAATCTGTGGAAATCTACCCATAACTCAGTAAGAGAATAAGCACAACCATGTTAGAAAATGCACCACAGCGCAGAGCGGATTTTTCTTTTCTTAAAATAACAAAAGTGGATTTACGCCCTTAATGCTTTTGCGCCATGCGCTTTAAACTTTAAACTTTAATCATTAAAATAGAGCCTAACGTGTTTTGCTTGTCTATAAAATATAAGAATTTTTATTATTTGTACTAAAAACTAAACCGAAAAATGTAAGTAAAAAAGCATTTTTTGCAGATGCGCACGGCAACTCGAGCGAAATCATTTGCAAATTCACTTTCTTGTTTACTTCAATGGCTTTAGTTGATGTGTTTATTTCTCTGGCATGTAATAAAGCACATAAACATGGCCCTTCATTTGTTTCACTCACTGTCACGATAGCGGCTCATCTGTATTTTGATGCTCTCTCAATGTATGAACCGTGGATGCGTCAGTGTGGCAGTTTAATTTGTTCGCTGGCGTCTAAAGAAAGGCCGCGGATGTGAATCTCCTCTGTTTTGTGTTGTGTAATGATTCTGGTGTCTGTCTCTCCCCGCAGGCGCTTCCTCACTTCAGTTTAAACTTTAAAAAGTTCTTCCCTTTTAAAAGTTGAACAGGCACAATCCATTTAACCCCACTCAGCTCTCACTCTAACTCTTTAACTCTGTTCCAAAAACCTATAGTGCACTACTTAGTGATGTAGAAGCTGCTCACGATGAATGAAGATCATAATAAGGGGTGAAACCAGATTGAAACGACCTGTACATCTGTCCTATGAAGGGGTGTGTGATGTTTATTGTCTGCAATAACCTAATAATTGTTTTTAATAGCTATATTTGAGTTGGACGGCACGGTGGCTCAGTGGTTAGCACTGTCACCCCGCAGCAATAAGGTCTCTGGTTTGAGTCCCAGCTGGATCAGATGGCATTTCTGTGTGGAGTTTGCATGTTCTCCCTCTGTTGTCGTGGGTTTCATCCGGGTGCTTCGGTTTTTCCCCACAGTCCAAACACATGCGCTATAGGTGAATTGATGAAAATAAATTGGCTGTAGTGTATAAGTGTGTGTGTGTGAATGCGAAAGTGTATATTTTCTTGTACTGGGTTGCAGCTGGAAGGGCATCCGCTGCATAAAACCTATGCTGGATAAGTTGGCAGTTTATTCTGCTGTGGCGAGGTCTGATGAATAAAGAAACAAAGCTGAATGAAAAAAGTGAATGAATGAACTATATTTGAGCTGGTATTACAATTTCTGCAGATAAAAGACTAAGTCTACTCTGCAAAAAATATGTTTATTCCTCAGTGCTTTTGTCTTATTTCTAGTCCAAATATCTGCAAATTCTTGAATTTGTAGACGAGCAAAACATATTGTCCTGTTTTCAGAAATTAGCAGTCAAATTAAATGAGTTATTCCTTTAAACAAGCAAAATAGTCTGCCAATGGTGTAAGCAAAATACACTTACTTCAAACAAGGTTATTGCGCTTGTTTTAAAGAAAAAAAAAACTTGCTTAATTTTGACTTATTATTTCTAAAAACAAAACAATATTTTTTGGAAAATGAAAAATGCTTCTTGGTTTAAGAATTTTTAGATATTTGGACTATAAAGAAGAACAATAGCACAAAATTCTAAGTAAGAAAAACCTTTTTGCAGGTCATGATTTGAGTTGTGAAAGCAAAACATCCCCAAATATGCTGTTGTTGTTTTTATTATTATTATTATCATTAGGAGAAGCACTTTAGCAACGAGACCAGCACCGTGTAAGTACATTTAGACTTGTTTTCAGTTGTTTGTGTGGGGTACTAGAAAATTTACTCACTGTTTCCTTGGTTACTGGAAGAGCTTGTGTGTGGATCGTGGAAGCCCCTCCCCCACCTCCATCCCCCAAGCCCCACCCTCCCCCCGGCTCAGTTTGTGTTGTTTTTACTCTCGAGGCGTGTCCAGTTGAATTCAATCGGCAAACGCTAAGAGGTGTATATAAGCAACTAGTCTCACCGCGGCAGCTTTCGCGGCAGCCTCGTGTGAAGACCGACGAACGTAAAGACCATCGACTCTACCTGCGCAACTCCACCGAGCAAAGACACCAACAAAGCACTTGAGTACTTATTTATTTTACTTTATCTTTGCACTTATTATTGTTTACATTGCACTTTTATTATGCGTTTTATTATTTCTCACAACACTATTTACATTTGCGCAACAATTCATGCATTTCTCAAAACAATTAGTACAAACTGCAAAACCTTGTTGATAACCTGCAATAGCGTGTCACATGCTCAAAGTGGAGAGCTCATTCCTCAAAAGCAAGTATTGCTGTCAATGAACGTGTCAGTGTCATCGAGATGAAAAGTCCTGACACCATTGTTTATAAACAAGATAGTCAAATGGCTTTGTCATGTTTTTATTGCGACAGTTAATGTTTTCCAATGCAATAAGGTCAGATTTTGGAGACACGTCCTGAAAATGCTCAAGACAGCACGATATACTATTTGCACAGCTGTTTGCAAACTACAGTAAACTTAGACATCATTGCATTTAGTGAGGTATCTGAGTACAAGACACTGAATATGTATGTTTCACATGTTTACTGCATTTGCTCTTTACAATTCTAATTTACTCACAACATTGTGCAAAAGAATAAACAAACCCGTATTGAAAACAAACAGAAACTTTCTTTGGGTAGAGCTTTGTAAACGATACTGCAGTACATATTGGAACTGAACCTGCAACATACACAGGTCTCTAAATCATTCATCAAATTGTTCAATTTAAAAGACATT